CTATGATATCCAATATCCAAAATCACAGATCCGAGCCCATATTCAGGTGACGAGGAGTCTAAAATTGGATGTTCCTTGGCCTTTTCAAAAAGACTATTTAAAAGTTTCAAAGGGACAGAGTAAAGTTTTGTTCGAATATGATGTAGACCTAAGGGTTGATTTACGTAAGGTTGTAATGATTTAAAAGAGACGTCATGTATTGCAGGTTTATTGTACGAACGATGTCCATGACTACGCTTACGTCTCTGAGTATTGTTAAAAAGTCCCATCACATTTACATTTATTGAATTATATTTATATTATATTATATTTATTGAAATAACGTCATGTTGACAAGATCCTTGCGATCAGTGATTGTTTATAAAATGTTATGTAGGATTTAACTAGCATCTTTTTTTAATTCTTTGATAAGATTTAATGGTGTTTATTGTGTAAACAAAGTCTTTAGTTGCAAAATATTTCATTTTCAGGTATTATGAAGTATAAAGTGTTTGTGTGATGTCACAATAAACGTTCCCCGTATAAATTAGGCCCAATCCCTTTTACGAGTCTGAACAATGCTGTGTATGATTGACTGTTAGTTTGCTTCAGACGGACAAGAAGAACATTTCGTATTTTGATATTATTTATTGAATTCATTCGAATTTTTTACCACACAAAAGTTTGAAAGTCAGGAGCTGAATAAATATCACATTGACAAATCCATGTTGATAAAAAAATACTTTTCGGTTTTCCTTTTCGTTTTAATCATATTTTATTCCTCACGATTTGTTTTACGAATCTAGTTGTTTTATTGACCAGTGACACGTTTTGGACTCTTGATATGTTATTTCAAGGAGACATAAACAGTCAAAAAATCATCTCATATATTGAATTATTTCTACTCTTGAATCTCTTTACTCCTTTTACTTAATGTCAACACCTGTCATTTACATACTTTATTATGTACATTTTGATGAATTGTCATGTATTATTCCTTCAGTCTGGATTTAACGAAGGCCAGTCTCGTCCACGTCCAACTCGTCAGGACTCTGAGTCCGGAGGTCACCTCCACCAATCCGACTCGCCAGGACTCTGAGTCCGGAGGCCACCTCAACCAATCCGACTCGCCAGGACTCTGAGTCCGGAGGCTATCTCAATCAATCCGACTCGTCAGGACTCTGAGTCCGGAGGCCACCTCAACCAATCCGACTCGTCAGGACTCTGAGTCCGGAGCCCACCTCAGCCAATCCGACTCGCCAGGACTCTGAGTCCGGAGGCCACCTCAACCAATCCGACTCGCCAGGACTCTGAGTCCGGAGGCTATCTCGATCAATCCGACTCGTCAGGACTCTGAGACCGAAGGCCACCTCAACCAATCCGACTCGCCAGGACTCTGAGTCCGGAGGCTATCTCAATCAATCCAACTCGTCAGGACTCTGAGTCCGGAGGCTATCTCAATCAATCCGACTCGTCAGGACTCTGAGTCCGGAGGCCACCTCAGCCAATCCGACTCGTCAGGACTCTGAGTCCGGAGGCCACTCAATCAATCCGTCTCGTCAAGACTCTGAGGCCACCTCAACCAATCCGACTGGATCACATTTAACATGTCTTTTTGTTGATTCAGATAAACTGTGAACAATTTTGAATATATTCTCATAAAAATGGAACCCTTTTATTCTTTGTTTCATTTTGTCTGGAATTGCATTTTGGTGGACCTTCAAAAAAATGGAACATAATATATACTTTGTTTTTACCTTAACATATAGTTATAAATTTTATTGTTTTAAAAACATTTATTAAAACGTACTGTAACTATCCTATGTGCATTAGAATGTCCTCATGGTGATATTAAATATCACTGGGCGAAAAGGCATGATGGGGAAATAGTATAAAATTGTTATTAACTGCACAAAATGTTTGCGAGTGCGGTTAACAAAACCTTTTAAATTTTATGCATTCTAAATACATTCAACATGATAACAAACAAAAATACTTTTTAGGATAACATCTCAACTTATTATCCCTGAAAAAAAAATGCTGATCTCGACTCCGACTCTTACAACAATGATTTCGCAGATTAATCTGGCATATCATAATTATGTAAACATAATTTAATATTTTGTTTTTCATGCACTTATTCATATAAAATATAGGTTAGTAAATAAAAGGTTTACGGATTCATAAAATGTTTTTAAAGTGCTTGTGTTAATTTCTTTTACAATTTTGTTAATTCATTATTTTCCCGACAAACCATTGTTGAGGGATTGGTGCATACCTATCACATGACTCGAGACTTAAGACAGGTTTTTTATTTAATTTCTCTCGGGTGTTGGTCACTTTTGCTTCGTGCTGTTATACAGTTATTGTAATTATCTTGAAAGTTTTACGCACTACTTATTTTAGCGCCTTAGACGCAAGAGCCTCTAAACGCTAAAATTTATTGTGCGCTAACAGATTTCTAAATATTATTTTGAGGGTGTGTGTTCAAAGTTTATAAGTACATGTAAACCAGAACGCGCGATTACGCAATGTACATGTAGAAGAGGCGTTGGATGTTGTATACACACTGGAACTGTACATGATAAGTTCTGCCAAATTATAATTTATTGAAACTTTAATTGTTACCCTGCTAGTTTTTACCTGGTCGATTCTTATCATTAGCATCTTCAAAGTGGTTAGAGCGTGTGCTCGAGAGTCGTGAAGTAAGGAGTTGCTCAATAGTACGTTCCGGGTTCTAATGCCACTGTGGGACGTGGAGACCGGTCCTTCGGATGATTCTGTATAAAGCGAGGTCCTATGTCGCAGTAGCTGCTGGCACGAAAAAGATCTCTCCCTGCTCAATGGCTCTGAGTTCTGAGTATAGGACAAAATTTGCAGCTCTCCACCGGCAAGTGATGGCGTCCCCATATGAGTGAAAAATTCTCGAGAGGGACCTTAAACAATATACAATCAATCAATTAATCAATGCATATGTTATGTCTTTAGTTAATTCCAAGATCTTTTTACTGAAACTTTTATTGCCATAATTTTGGTAAGTTGATTGTAAAATGTATAAGTAAGTTGTTACCGTACCTGCAAATGATAATGTTTCTATGTCTAAATTTACATATTCAAATAGGTTCAGTGGCAATCACTATATAAATTCAATCAATACAACTATTAATATATTGCGTTAATTGGTATAGATACATTTTTAATTATCAGTTAGAGACTATTTTTTGATAAGTGTTTTGCATACATCATTTTATTACATATGTCACAGTTGATATTTAATTAAATACTTTGTTATTAATTCATATTTGATTAGCGCGCATTGCTAATCAAACGTAGCGCTGTTTGTGTGAATGAGTGCCATGTGTGAATGTTTTGTTTGTCACGTGATGTTTCTATTTTTAGCTTCCCAACCGACCAGGTATACGAGTACGACCAGTGGACCAATGACAGACCTCTATCCGATAATTAATATGCATGTATACTAACTTCGTGCACTATATAAGCGCTTATCCCGCCAAATAAGATATCCATTAGCTTTTACCTTCACGGTTTATGAGGTCCAACCATTTATGAAGTCATCGAGTTATACGATGTCTTGATTACTATTATAATAATATTCATTATTTTATGATACTGGATACCTGGTAAGATTAAATTCTAATGATGTAAATACTTATATCAGTTTTGATAATACGTAAAATATCTTAATGACAGCGACGTGAATTTGCATGTTGTGTAATTTGTAACATTGTTTAGCGTGCTGTATTTGTCTCTTGTTAATGTGTGTGTTGTGAGAGTGTTTTCTATGTTTCTAGGTTTCTTTTCTGTTATCCATAATAAAACATCATTACTCGAATCCAGCGTTTTCTCTGAAACGATTGACCCTGTGACAAATGGCGCCCACGTATGTGTTGATGTTACTGTGAGGGAAACCAGGATCCAGATTCCAGTTCCTGGGACAAGGCCGGAACGCCAGTGCCGCTGTGACGACCAACGCCCACATTCAAAATAGTAGGCCTACATCTAAATCTATAAATATACATCTACATTTATATCAGGACGTACACTCTACATGACAAGTGAGTTCTGTTCATGATATACTCGGTACGAGCTTCGAGTCCGTACGGAATGTGTTTAAATTTAGTGCACTTAATTAACATTACGCTAGCTACTAGTAGTAACATTTTCTGAACCTGCTGATCGAGTCGACCTGAGTTCAGGACAGGTGTCCACTGTCCAGTGATCCGTGAATTTACTGACATCTGTTGTGTTCGAGAAAAGAATTCGCGCAACGTTGTGAAACTACCGCGGTGTAACCATGCAATTCAGTGATCAGTGAAAATAAAAATCCATCCAGATATATCTGTGCTATTAATTATTTTCATGTTCTGTGTCTTTCTGTTGTTGTATTGTATTGTATATATGTGTGTATTATTTCATGTTCAATGTATGGTGTGTGAGATTGCCGGCTTTGTGAATGCTGTGTGCAAGGTGCGTGTTACTCATGTGTAAAAAGATCGGGCTCGACATTCAAATTTTCATTTGTTTTGCTTTTGAACTTCCGGAAGTGTTGAAAAACGTGTGTGTCAAAATGTTTTACACGGTTTCATAGACTCTTCGCTGTCAAACACGTCTGTTCAATAAGGTAAACAATTTTTCTGTGTATGTTGAATGTCTGTGATGTATTTTTGTTGACTGTCAATGTTTATTTTTGTCCGTCAATGTCATTGTCTGTTGAACATTTTGTTGATGCGTGTCGTAGTTTATAGTAGCTGAAAATTTCCCTGCGCGCGATCACTTTCTCAATTGCAGAGTTACTAACCCAAGCACAGGACTACAAAACAACAGGACTGTTGGACAAAGCAGACAGGTACATTTGTGTATATTTTTTTTTTCAGTTTATAAATTATTGTGTATATAGTTGTTTGTACAGAATTTGAGTGAGTGATTGCTTGTGTGTTGACATTTGCGCATTGCGATAAGTTAATCTTTGCTTGCGATTTGGTATCAATTGAAAAATCAACATGGCAACTGGTGTTGATGAAAACAAGGGTAAGAAGGATTTACAAGAAGATATTGATGAAAGCAAGGGTAAGAAAGACTTACAAGAAATTATAGAGCAAATCAATGCAGAAGAGCATTACAGGGTTATTACAAAAGAGGAGTATGACCTGTTGAAAGGGCAGAAAATTCCAACTACCCCTAAGATTGAACATGGTTTGAGTCAAGGTACCATTCCTAAACTTCCACCCTTAGGTCAAGTACCACCACCAAATCACATACCCACACCAGGTTATTTACAACCACCAGGTCTTATGTCATCCCCTAAATTTTTTAATAGCTCTGCTCTGTTTCATCAGAATAACAACCCTACCCCTATAAAGCTTCCAACTTTTAGCGGTAGTGAGCAAGCTCAGAAAGGTGAAGTGAGCTATGACGTTTGGTCGTATGAGGTTAGGTGCTTAAAGGGCCAGTGGCCTGATCATGTTCTTTTGCAGCCAGTGAGAAGTTCTCTGAAGGGGACGGCGAGAGAAATTCTGATTCCACTTGGAGAATATGCAACAGTTGAGAACATCCTCGCAAAGTTGGATGATTTTTATGGGAATGTATGCACACCGGAAAACATCATGCAGAAATTTTATTCGGATCATCAACAAGAAGGTGAGTCAATTGTTTCCTATGGTTCACGATTAGAACAAACTGTTTCAAAAGCTGTTAGACTTGGTCATGTAGATGTTGTAGCAAAAGATTCTATGCTAAGATCAAAATTTTGGTCTGGGTTGAGAAATCCCCAATTGAGAAATGCATCTAGAAATAAATATGAAACTATCAAAGAATTTCAGACTCTGTTAAGAGAAGTTAGACAGATAGAGCAAGAAGAATTGAATTTAGCTATTGCTAAACCAGTTGAATATACATGTAGTGCTGTATCAACAAATGAAGCATTAAATGTAGAGAAACAGCTTAGTGAAATACTGAGTCAGATGAAGAAGCTAGACTCTAGAATGAGTAAATTAGAACAAGATCAAAAGAATTTAACGAATGTAGAATATTTTCAGACATATAAGCCGCAAGAGAACTTGAACAACACAAGAGGCAACTCCAGAAGCAGAGGAAATTACAGATACCATAACTGGAGAGGAAGAGGAAATTTCTCACAGCAGAATGGTAACAATAGAGGTTATGGTAAAGGCCAGAGAGGTAATGATTTAAACTAGCAGCATCTTCTGTTGCAGGGCGAACAGAAGATCAATTTGCTAAATGCCCTACTATACCTCCCAATCAAGATCTATTGACAAGACTTGTAGGTCGTTCAAATGAAGCAGATATTACTGTATTTGGTACCAAGACCAAGGCACTGATTGACTCGGGGTCTATGGTTACATGTATTTCAGAATCTTTCTATCAGTCTCTCAAACCTATGCCTGAACTGTTAAGTTTGACAAACTTTGGGCTTAGTGTGAGAAGTGCCAATGGCAGTGAATTACCATACAAAGGTTATATAGAGATGCAAATCAATGTTCCTTGTATGAATGACTTTTCATGCCACATTCCTGCTCTTGTTGTACCTGAAACAAATTATACAAAGAATGTCCCTGTTATCATAGGTACTAACTTTATTCGTCTTTGCAGACAAAACTGTGAGAAGATGTCTCAGACGTCAGACATACCAGACGAGTGGCAGCTGGCATTCGAGAGCATGAACGATGAGACGCCGGTCAGGACAACAAATAAACATACCATTACAGTTTCTCCAAACGAGACCAAAGTCATTAGAGGTATTGTAAAAAATGTAAATAGCATTGATTGTGCATTGACAGAACAAACTAATACCAGTCTGTCTGGTGATCTTGTCATATGTCCCAGAGTTATTCCCCTTACCCAGGGTAAACACACAGTAACCATTCCTGTTA